TCTGCGCGATACACTGGGCTCCCGGTAGCAACTCATGAAACCATGAAACATTGAAGGAAAAATGAACCGGTCCAAAACGCCTGTCCTATCGTCCTTTTCTTTGCAACCTATCTCGCCTTTAAGCGATTCACTGAACCAACTAGAAACACGCACGTTAAACGGAGTGTAACACACGAATCAGTTTGGCGGTAAAAGCCATGCCTGTGGTCCGTCTCCCCCTGAGATGATAAAAGGCCAGGGTTGAACCAATTGATTAGACCATGGTTTTTTCTAAAGCTGAAGGTTTGAAATTGAAACCGGACACCTCAAGAATGTGTTTATTGAGTCGAGAGAGAGAACCACCGACTGTTTAATATTTTGATAAATCATTTATATTAATTTAACATAATGCTATTTCTTCATGTTTGTCATTAATGAATCATTTTTGTATTAAAGAAGACTGGAGGTTCATTTCATGTCAGTCCATCTGATAGTTGGTGAGTTACAGGAAGCGTCCCAGAAACTATCTGATAAAATAAAAACCCTCCTGTATGTTTCGCAATACATAGTGTGAGGTTGCCATAGTAACGGAGTATAATCTGTAGTCTGACATCAGCTCATCAGTTAGTTTATCCTCAGGCTCTTTCCTGTCACAGAAAAACCTCCCGGCTTCATTTTGTTCACATGAAAACAAACTCAGATGTGTTGAGTTCAGAAGCTTCCTTTAGGTTCTTTCGAGGATGAAAAGTGACGTTTTGATGGCGGTGAGCTGAGGAAGACCATGATGTGCAGCTAAGTTTGATAAACAGTCTGTTGGTCGCGTGATGAATGTGCTCAGAGCGGTTACTGCCTGCAGCTTCCTGTCAGAGAAAACACGCAGCTGTAATCAGATATGAAAATGTTTAAAAAAATCTTCAAATCTGAATTCAGATCAGCAAATGTATTGAGACTTGTAAATATGTGGACAAATCTGTAAATGCAGACATGCAAATTATTGCTGTGAAGTCTCAGTATTTGCTCCAAGAGCTGGAAATACAACAATTTTAACTTATCCTCAGATCTCGCCCAGTTGGAGCTCAGTTGTGGCTGGAAAGTGGTTAAAATATTGCGTATTCTTGCTTGTGCTAGCTGTATTAGCATCCATGTACTCCTCGTCACCTGCATAGGTGTTACCATGCCAATTTTAGATTTGATGACGCATTGTAAATTCTTGTTGTCATGGGGCCACGCTGCGCTAACGTTACTCAAGTCACTCTTGTGGCACTGACCTTTCACCTTTCCTGAGAGTGGAGACGTGGAGACTGTCAACCGGTTCATGGTACATTAGGATCCATCCAAAGTGATTTCTAACGGTAAATCTTTACAACCCTAATTATTAGAACTATTTACTTGAATTATAAAAAGTAAATGTACTCATAATGCTGAAAAATAACCTGTGTTTTACTCCGATCTACTGTATTATTGATGTATTATTAATTATACATTCATGTGTAATTTTGCTGTTGTAGCTTATTTAACATGATGATCATATGTAACATATATTTTGTACATAAAACTTTGGTCTGTAAAGTGGCTAAAGCTGTCTGATAATTGTAGTGGAGTTAAAGTATAAAGTAGCATAAAATGGATGAAAGTACGTTACAGTAAAATGATTAAAAAATACATAGTCCAGAAATTAACTGAGTGTATATTCAGTGATTATTGACATTAACATGGCTATTAATACCAGTACTGATATCTGTAAGAACACAAAGTATTAATATAAATAATAAAATTATTTTTTTAGAAGGTGGAGTTGTAGTTTGTCACTGTGACCACTAGAGGGCAGCGATTCATGATCATTTCAGTTTGTGAAAGAAGAACAGAGAACATCCAGTCAGAAAGACACAGGAGACAAAGTAAAGACATCAGATCACATCAGCTTTCTGCTCAGCTCCTCATTTATCGTCAGCGTCCAGCAGATAATGATTCACATTAGGGTTTAAAACCTTCACCAAACAGTTTGCTTAAACTAGTTTAAAATCTTTTCACAGCTGCTTTGCCTTTCCATATTTTTTCCATCTGAAGGTTGGTGTCAGCTGATGATATTCTGCTGTAGGTTGGTCCTGGAGAACTACTGCACAGGACGGATCTTCATGCTGATGGTCTTCAGGGAGTAGTCATGACCCTTCCAATGTTTCCACTCCACTCCAACAGCAAAGATAGTGCCATCAGCCCCCCAACGATAAACTCCGTTGGGATTTGAACGGTGACAATCATTGTACCAGAATGACCCCAGGAAGATTTTGGCACAGTTCCTGTCTGAGGAGTCCTGGTCTTTGTCGAAGGTGGAGAACTTCTGTCCGTTGTGATAACTCAGTCCGTCTCCTACAGAAACACAGCAAGTGTATAATCAGAACATTATGATAACACATCTAACAGTGGTACATTTTAAACCTGTATTAACATTGTTGCTGTTTGTCAGGAACACTCTGTTCAAACTCACACACACAGCTTCACACCCTCACCCAGTACAACCAGTACAGCTGGTGCCCAGTACAACCACAATCTGCTTGACGAACTGTCAACTGTCCACCTACGTATTACTACTAACACAACTACTGAACTAACCAGACACTCTCACTATTATGACTGAATTAAAACAATATATGCATATGAGTCAGCTTTAACAAGTTAGCAAGTAAGCAGAGAAGTTGGAACAGTTCACTATTAACAGATAAATAAAATGATGTGGAGTTGATGGCGGGTACTAGTACTCATACTCTGTAGACTACTACTTATTATATATATATATATATATATATAAACTTATTTAGAGAAAAATATATAAAACCTTAATGTGATCCATGAAACACCAGCAACCTGCAAGCATATGCACTATGGATGAATGAGTCTCTGTTCAACCAACTAAATTATCTATACCTACTGCCGCACTTGCAGTGGGCAGGGCTTCAAGCAGAAGTGGGTGGGATAAGCGGGAATACCCTCAGATCAATGTTTTATAAAAACACACCTAGTAACTAGCAGTAGCAATGAGGACTTTACTTCATTACGTATTAAGTACAGATATTGACATTTTTTTTTTTTTTTAAATACATTATCTGTAACCTCCTAATAAGCCTAATAAGGACAGCTGAAAAAATCCAATACTATTCTATTTCTTAAGCTAGCTAGAAAATCCTCCCCTGAATATGCTAACACTAACTCACCTGCCCCTCCATCAGTGAATCCAGATACATTCAGTCTGTATCCCTGGGACTCTGGGTCGATGGAGAATGAGGAGTAACGAGCAAATACTTTATTTCCCTCAAAGTCCTCCATGTCGACCAGCAGCTCGTACTTTTTCCTCAGAGTCAGGTGGAAGAGATTCTCAAGACCTGGAAACAAACACACACACACACACAAACACAGAAACATCTAGAAACAGTTTCAGGAAGTCACACGACTGTTAGTTTGGTTCCATTTCTCACCGAGCCAGTACTCTCCAGCAGCGCTACCGAAGCCCGTCTTGTACTGGTCCCAGGGTCTGTAGAAGTTTACCGAGCCATCCATCCTCCTCTGGAACACCTGGAGGGGTGTAAATCATATTTTATTAACATGATTTATTGTGAAGGTCCGACAGGAAGTGTTCACACCAGAAGTCACTTGGTTGTGACTCAATGACACTGACTTCAGTTAAAATACATACCGTCAATTTTAGCCTGCCGTTTAGAAGCTGTCTTACCCTCAGTTGTTTCTGATGACCAAACAGGCTTTCTTAAAAATCTATTTTTTGATATACAACTCCTATCTAATATCCTTTATGATCCCACTCCACACAAGCCTCCAGAAATATAAATATCACTCGATGCCAAGAAGGCATTTGATCAGGTGGGATTATCTTCTTTATACTCTCAAACCATTTGGCTTTGGTTCAAGATTTGTCTCGTGGATAAGGGTGCTCTATTCCTCCCCGTTGGCGGCTGTCCGAACAAACAGCAATCTAGTCTATTTCCCAGTTCGTTACGGCACTTGGCAGGGTTGCTCCTTGTCACCCTTTTATTTGCTATTGCTACCTAACCATTAGCAATCACACAGCATGGTGAAGCCAGCATTAGGTAATACAGAGAAAAGGTATCTCTTTACGTTGATGACATGCTTTTATACTTATCATCAGGATCAAAGGTTCATTTACAAAAAAGTGAGATTATGCCAGTGATTATTGCTGCCACTTTGATTGCATTTTATTAATTCCTTAAATTACGTGCATATTAATTGAAGTACTTAAGAACCTTTGTCACATATGACTTTAAAGACTTTATTTCCCCCCACTACTATTTCACCTGAAAAAAGATTTGTATGTTATTATTACTTTTTTTTTATCACGCTATTACTCACTTATTATTAATTACTATAGCTTTTTATCATTTTATGTACTTTTACACTTTTGCTATTATCATTTTCCTTTCTGTGTCTTATTGACATTTTTTGTTTTATTGACCATATTTATAGATACTTGTAACTCCTTATGCATTAATTATGTTTGATTACTAACGGTACAGTAATACTTTAACAAGGATGGGGCTCTCTTGGAGCAGGAAGATGGGGTGTAGCTCATCTAACTGCTTACCAGTCAAAAGTCAATACTCACCGTCCACCGTCCTCCTTCTGAGTCCATGTCACAGAACACCTACACACAGATATACTCATTAGTAAATGTGATACTTGGCTAAAACTACATCTTATGTACTACAACCAGTATTAGTACTACTACACCGCATGCCCAACTGCAAGCAAGAGCTTTA